AAAATATAAATAAAATTGAAAATTATACTACTAATAAATTGAAATGAATAGTACCTCTTATTTCAAGTAACATATTAAAGGAAGAGGAATGGAAAAAGTAAAAGAAAAGCAAAAAGGAAAGTAGAAGAAATGAAGATGAAATGGAAAAGGAGAAGGACGAGGAAATGGAGAGAAGAGGAAAGGGATGATTAAAATGAGAAAGTGAAATATATGAGTGGAGTAAAGGAAGAGAGGAGAAAAAAGAAAGTGAATTCGAATAAAGGATGAGAAAAATGAAAGAGAAGAAAGAAGAAGATGGGAGAAAATGCTAAGGGAAGGTTTATATAGATAAGTATCATTGCGCTGGAAAATAATGTGGGTGGGATTTTGAAAATTTTATAAGAAAAAAATAGCGCTTGAACGTTGGATTTTAAATTTTAGATAAACTCATTTTCCAGTGCATTGCACTGAAAAATAATGGGGGCAAGATTTTAAAAATTTTACAAGGAAAAAATGGCACTTGAACGTTAGATTTTAAATTTTACATAAACTCATTTTCCAGTGCATTGCGCTAGAAAATAATGTGGGCGGAATTTTGAAATTTTTACAAGGAAAAAATGGCGCTTGAACATTAAACTTTAAATTTCAGATAAACTTATTTTCCAGTGCATTACACTGGAAAATAACCTGACCAAATACACAGGCCTATCTTCCAGCGCACTGTATTGGAAAATAATCTGAACGAAATGGGCACTACTATTTTCCAACGCATTGCGGTGAAAAATAATCTGAACCAATCTAAACCAAATGGATACTACTATTTTCCAGCGCACTGCACTGTAAAATAATCTACAACAAATGGGCACTACTATTTTTCAGCGTACTACGGTGGAAAATAACTTGAACCAATCTAAACCAAATGGATACAACTATTTTTACAACACATTGCACTGGAAAATAATCTACACCAAATGGACACTACTATTTTCCAACACAATGCACTGGAAAATAAGCTAAACCAAATACACAAGTGTATTTTCCAGCGTCTTGCACTGGAAAATAAACCGCACCCATTTCTACCGTTTAACTTTGACGATTCTAAACATTTTCCAGTGCGTTGCGCTAGAAAAAAACGTGAAAAATATTTTTTTGATTTTTGAAAATTTTTCTTGTCAATAGTAACACTAAAAACATTATTTTCCAACGTAGTGCATTGGAAAATAGGAAGGCGCCAAACCAAATTATGGTGCTAAATTATTTTCCAGCGCAATGCGCTAAAAAATTAGTTTCACTTAAAAATTATTTATAGATTTTAGATCCTTTATGCAAATTTTTAATTTCCAACGCTTGGCGCTGAAAAATAATATGCTATTTTCCAAGCGTAAATTGCGCTAGAAAATAATTGGTTGAAAAAAGGCAAATTTTTAGTAGTGTTATCTAACTCTTTTATAATCTGAGTATGATACTTAACCAAATAGATAAAATACTTATACATAACGGATAAACGCATACTTAATTCTCACCTCCAATCATAACTCATAACTCAGCAATTGGGGCAAAGGTATCGATTCTCATTTTACCATGGACTGAACGAAACGGCATGACTTCTGTGTTTTTTTGCCTTCGTCTATGCTGATGATAATTCTATTTTGCTTTGATCATTGGACTCAATTGACCAACACATCAAATTCTTGCCATAGAAAACATCATGGCAAAGAATTAGCCACAGAATTTAGGAGAATTATTCCAGAAAATCTCCTATGTATTTTATTAATTTGAGCCGATAAAAGCTGATCTAACGTGGTTACACCACATCATTATTAATTTTTAAGCTAATCCACTTCAGTTTCATTTTTTTAATTATTATCAATTTTAAATCCCACAATAAAAGCAAGAAACCCTCGCTTAATTTCCAGCCTGCGCTCCTTTGTTTCTCGCGACTTCCTTCCCACTCATATCTGCCTCCTCCTGTTTCCCACCTCCAGTGCTGACGAAAGCCCTCACTCTATGGTCATATGTTATTGCGTGATTTCTCTCCACTCATGTCTTCCCCTGTTTCCCACCTTCGATGCCAACAAACTCTACCCCGCTTCTCTTGCAATGGAGGTAATTCCTTTACATTACTTTTTTAATTCTTAACCAGATTGATAGAAGATGTTAAATTGGATGAAGATATTTTTTTTCTTATCCTTTTAATTTTATTTTTTCACAACTAAACCTTTAACCATCTCTGTAAAACATACAAAGCATAATATTTTTATTAATTATATTGTAGAATATTATTCAAGATACAAAACCTATAACATCCTAATAAAAAACAAAGTCATTTTAAAAAATCCTAATCAAAAATACATTCAGGGGCACAACATGTCAACATACTGGAACTCAAACATCAAGTTGCATACTCTTCAATTCTCAACTGAGTCAATTCTTGAGAGTACTAAGCACTGCACAACTTCACAAATTTTGATCTTGAGCTCTTATTTCGTTCGTATAAAACACTTAATTCTCGAGCTATATTCTTCACATCGGCTCTACTCTTCATACCTCTTTTTCTGTTTTCTAATTTTTTCAGTTCTTTTCCTATCTCTCTCTGCTTGCTTCTTCAAGCGATTAAGAATGTTTGTGAAATAAATCCTAAATTCGGCATCTGCAATAAGAATGTGACCTCACTTTTCAAGAATAATGGTACAAGTATTACCAAATTAGTGAATTGTTATGTTAAAGAGAATAAACTTAATACACCATGCAATAAAGTTTTTCTTTACATTCTAACTCTTAAAGAAAATGAAATAATCATTCATCAAATCTTTTTAGGCAAGAATCTAGTATATTTATATTATAATTCTTATAATTTTTATAACTCCTCCTATTCTTTTAGTCTATATATAGAGTTTATCATTGTGTAGTAAAGATATGGAAGAAGAAAGAAAAATAAAACTCCTAATAATCTCTTCATCTCCCTTTGTCTCTACATTTAACATTTCTTCTTTTATTTATTAATCTTTATTTTACAACAAAAATTAGTATTATTAATTTGTAAGTTCTACGTTCTACATAAATAGGGAGGCCAAGGCCAAACCCCTTAACTAGGAAAAAGATTTTTTTTTTTTTTTTTTTTGGCCCAAGAACCAAAAGAAAAAAAAAAAATTTGATTAAAATCATTTCAATGTTGTAGCCTAATGTTAAGCCTTCTGAGCCATATAGAGTGAAGCACCATATGAAGCGCATCAAAGGGCTTGGGCGGACGGTTAAGTTGAAAATGCCGCCGGAGTTTCGTCACCCTCTTCTGCATTTTTAAGTACTCATACTCCGGAATTCCTTGTAAAATCTTCTTGATTTCCGGTATTTTTTCCACCGGAATATTCACGGAGAACTTGGTCCAATCAAGAACATCGTTGAAGGGTAATGAATAATTACTCGAGATAATCACAGGGACGCATCCGGAGTGGAACGACTCGACCAATCGTGGGCTAGCCACCTCGAACCCACTAGGGCATAGGCAATACTTGCTATCCCCCATGAGCCTGGCGTAATCTTTTCCTTTCGGAAGGTACTCGTTCACCTGAATTTCATTGTCCTTTCCCACCCAATGGTTTATCAGGCCTTCCCGGATGTCACCGTGACGACCACCGGAAAAGAAGGCGAGGATGCTGCGATTTTGTGGAGGTTTGCTAAACCAATGTCGGGTGAGTGATAGTGGTGATATATTGAATTCCGGTAGTGTCGCATCTCTCTCCGGCTGGAACCCTTCCGACATGTTGGCATTGCATAGGACCCTAACAAAATTCTTGTAAAGCTCAGGGTCATCTACCGAAACACCTGGTGCCTGAAACTCCCAATCCAATCAGAACTCTTCAAATTATTGAAATTCAATTACAAGTTATCAAAAGTTTATGTTAAGAAACAAAATTTACAATGAACAATCAATATAAAATTAGGATGCCAATAAAAAATTAAATTGAATTTAACTTATTAGATTCATTTAAAATGTTTTTGCTACTTTAGAAAAGTTAACGTGCTTGAAAATTAAATGACATGAAAAAAAATAAATCAATCAATTAAGCTTGAATTTGTGAGGTTCGAGTTTAATTAGTATTAATAGTAGTACTTTTTCTCCCTCAAAAAAAAAATAGTAGTACTTTTTCACTTGATTTATTAATGTACTCACACTAAGTTTGTTAGTTTGATTAAATAGGGTTATTATTTAAAAGTAAAATAAATAAAAATTTAGTTAAGGCAATTATTAATTTAAAGTTCAAATTAAAATTTTAAATTTTTGTATCCTCGAACATCTAACCATATGATGTATTAAAAAAAAAGTGAAAATAAAAGAAGTGAGCATAGCATTACCCAATCATGGCAAGAGAGCATGAAATGATCGGCTCCATTGCTTGCATTCCAGTACGGATACTTGTGGGCTACGACCATGATGTAATCCTTGAAGGTACGTACGAGGCGGTCACGATCGTAGGAGGTAATGGGCCGGTAGACGTACTCAACAATGTGTTGGACACTAACGGGTGCGAAGAATGCGTGGGCCTCATCAGGATGTTGGGCTATGAATGAGCTATTCCCATTCTCTATTTCATCGATGAATTGGCCCTCAATTGCGTAGATGTGTTTCAAGGGCCCACTGTGGACTAACGGTCTCTCTCCGTCTCTGTAGGCCCATATCTTGAACCTCTTCACCATCTCTATGTGGCTCCTGAAGGAAAAAGGAGAAACGAGAAATGGATGCATTGGGGTTATCAGGTAGATTAACCAAAAACAAAAATTGCCGAATGGTAGCAACTTCAGTTCTAAAAGAAAATATTTTAGGTTAAGAAATAGCTCTGATAATTTAATCTGTACAGAACTACAAAATCAGGGAAACGTGAGTCTCACTTATTAAAGGGCAAGGGCCGCAACGTTACTTTTTTTTCTTTTTCCCTTTTTTTTTTTCCTTTGTACATGTTAATTGATATCTAAACAAAACAATCAATTTGATCATAAAAAACATAACCTTACTAATGGAAAATTGAATTAATTTTTTCAAGAACTGAAACTTAACTGTTGAAAGGCGTAGGCGTTTCTGTACATGGATCCTCTGGGGATGAAAATTTCGTCCTTGTCCGATTTGAAACTCCTTTTCTGGATTGCTTCATGTATGGCTGCTCGAGCTTGAGCTAAGTCTGCTTCAATCCTCTCCAACCTACACCTTTTCTGCGCATAAAAAACCGGACACCCATTAAATAAAAATTAAAATTAAAGAAACTTACGAATTGGAACCATTAAGGAATGGAGTTATGTATCTTACTTTGATAGGGATAATAGTGTTATTCCCAGCTGGTACAGAAGAGGAAGCTGAGGGAAGAGATTCGGCAGATAGGTGTGATGTGTTGCGGGTGGAAGATGAGGGAAGAGGTTCGGTAGATAGGTGTGATGTGTTGTGGGTGGAAGCAGGGGGAGGTTCGAAGGCCAAAAAGAGATGGTTTTGTTTGGAGGGGAAGGAGTAGATGAAGATAAGGAAAATACTAAAGAGTAGAAGCGCATAGGAGCAGCTAGCAGATACCTCCATGGCTGCTTCCCCGCCTCCTCCTGTTTCGTTTAGTTTATAAAGATAGCACTGAAAAGCAAGAAAATCAGATATTCATTGTGTATCCAAAACAAGAGAAAAAAAAATTCAAAGATATTAATTGAGATACGGATACAATCCTTATAAAGATAGAATTGGAAGAAAAGCATGTAAAGACTTTAGGGTAAATAATATATGGAAATAAATTACCAGAATTCATATAGATACAATATACTTATATACCTTATTTATATTTAAATCAAAATTAAAAATATCATTTGTTATTTTAGAATCAAATTGATTCTCCTAATACCTTAACATAATACCTAGGTAATACCTTCGCAGGTTTGTTCTTTATATAAGGTATAGAAATTTGTAGGAGAGAAACAGAGAGAAGATTGAAGGCATTTTGGCGTGTATGAAAAAGTTGACCAACAATTTATATTCTTTAAACAACATTGTAACGGAATTGGTTTATGATTCATCTCAACAATTAATATATTGCCTTTCTTACATTACAAGCCTTGATATGCTACCCTGAAAGCAATGGGAGCATTTTCTCTCTATTTTCCATTTCCTAATTAAACATTATTTCCTGTACTTTGAACTTCACATTTGTAATTCCCTTTTTTGTGTTGATTGTCAACAATCACTTTTGACATGCTTTCTTTTTTATTTTTTAGTGAAATTGACATGCTTTCTTTTGATATTTAATTTTCATTGAAAAAGACTTCAACAATGGCTCTCTCTTTATTTTTCATCATTAATGAATTAATATAAGCAGCACCATATAATTATAAGATGTTTTCTTTCGGGTTCATTAGCTGGAATGAAGTTATTAATTATTCTTTTGAATTTTGATCCTTACAAGAACAGGTGCTTAGCGTAGAGTTTTGTCCCCGCGTAGATGGAGTACTAGGCTACTAGCTTTGAAAACAGATGCTCTCTCTCAAATTCAGATCCATCAATGAATACCAGCAATTTACTGGGTAAGACTTAACTGATCCCATAGGCTAATAATTCTTCAACAGTTGTTCCCAACCCTATTTTTAAATAGAATTAACAAATGGGAAAATGTTTCAGTTTCACTTGCAATTGCAGTCTTACGTGGCACGAATTGTAATTGACTCAATTTCATGGTTTTGTTTAACTCGGTGTTTGCACATTTATAATTAATTTATATAAAAAATTATAAAAGTTTAATATAATTTTAATAATATTATTATGTGAATAATTTTAATTAGTTAATAATTAAATTAAAGTTAATACTTATATTTTTATATAAATTAATTACAAAATAGTACAATAAATACATTTTTAATCTGTTTTTAAAGTCTATTTAATAGGCAAACAATTTTTCATCGCACAGCATGCTTGAATTTATACATCCCTTTATTTAATATTAAGGCTTCATTTGTGAGAGCTTTTGACAAATGTTTTCAAATAGCATTTTATCTAAAAATATAAATTTTTAATTTTTAATTATTTTTTCTATTTGTTTACTAATTAATGAATATTTTATATATTTTTGGATAGTAAACAAACAAAAAAACCTAATATGGCATTACCAAACCAAGCCTAAATAATGATTATTGTGAGATTTTATCATAAGATAAGATTATGTATGTTAATTCTATTAAAAAGACAGTCTAATTTCTCTAACTATTAATTCAATTTTAGTTGTCCTTTTTCTTTTTCTTTCTCAAGTAAAAAGGGGTGTGATGGTCAACAATATAAATAAAATAGAGATATAACAATTAATTAATAAAAATTCATATTTATTTAAATTATTATTATTTAAATAAATGTTGTAACTATAACTTTAAAATAAAGATAGAAAGAATATACTTAATAAATAAATCTCTCAATTAGCAAGTATGACAACTAATTTTAAACCTCTAATTAAAAATAAAACTACTAAACTTCAAGGAAGGGAATAAGAATAAAAAAAGAACACTTGGGTGAGAAAATTAGATATGATATTCTTAATCAGTTTTCCTACATAATATGCGGAAAGAAGTCAAATTCAAAGGAATACCTGAGTTTATTTTTCCAACTTCTAAGAGATTGTAATTATTGTGGGGAAGATGAGTGTGCACCTTGTTTATAAGAGCCACATGATCTATGTTTCGAGGGGAGTGTGCATTGGATCATCAAAATTCACAAACTTCTGGAGTCTGGTCCCTTAATTAAGTGCAATGCATCTTTTACGACTAATAATAAATTATATAGATAGCATTTGAAGAAGGGTAAATATTAATTGGACATAACAATTTTTTTTTTTTTTTGGTAATTCATACTGTAATACGTAATTTGTTAATGAAGGCTGACTTTTTTGCTTATTGGACGGAGTTCTCATAGGCCGAGGTTTCGTCAGGTTCAAATATGCATGCCTTGTAATTAATAGTTTGATTTACTAACAGAAATTAATGATCCTTTCAATTCTTATTTCAGAGGCATGGCTTTAGTATGAATCTTTGGGCTTGTTTGGTTATTCTTCCGAGCTGGAAAGTTTTGCTGGATAGATTATTTATTTTTAGGTAATTTGTATTGTTGGGAGAAAGTTATGCAACTTTCCTATGTTTGCTTGCTCTTTTTAGAAAAAACCCTTTTTTTAATGTTATTTTTTATATTTAATAAAAAATTGACCTAGAAAAAGTTAGTAAAAAAATTCTTAATTAAGTTCAATATAAAAAAATTTTTGTGGAACTTTTAGGCATTGTTATAGTTACAAAAACTTTTTAATAGTCTTTAAAAATAACGGTTTTATTTGGCTTGCTTGTAAGGAATAGCTAACAATTATACATGTTAATTGATAATTAATAGAATGATTAATGTTTATTATCAACATATTAAAATTAATCTATAATATGATGTTTCTAAAGACTATAACTAACTATTTAAAAAAAAAATTGAATTTATGCATTTTAACAATTTTGTGTGTGACAATAATTACAATTGAAAGTTTTATTTCTTTAAAAAATGCAAAAGAAAAAGTTTATAAGTTTAAAATTATTTTTTTAAAATATTAAAAATATCATTGTTATTATTTATTTATTATAATTTTAAGAATGGTAAATAATAAGCCATCCTTACAAAATCCTTGATGAGAACATTTAATGGGAGGGAAGTACATTTAATGGGAGGGAAGTACCAAGCGGCCCGTTAAGGTTGCTTGTGTTGTTTGTCCCATGGGGAGGGAGTGTGTCGTTTGGATCTTGTCCACCTATGGTTATTGGATTTTTTTTTTTTTCACTAGGTGTAAATTTTGGGTTGGGGAATGACACGAACTGGGTTTGAGCCCAAGTCCTAAATGCATCTGACTCAAATCTCAATTGAACTGGTTTTAATGCTTTTGTAACCCAACTTTGATATTTGAAATAAGAATATTTTAATTTATACTTTTATTATAATTTTTTATTATTAAAGTTAACTTTAATTTTAATTTCAACAACTATCGGGACGGAGGTAGGGGTGTAAGGAGGGCGCCCACCGCCTAGATTTCTGAAAATAATTTAAATATGTCCTATAATTTTTTAAAAAATCAAATAAACCCTTCTTAGAAAGAAAAATAAAATGGTGCGTTGAGACTTTTATTCGTTTATAGGTTTTATTATTATTTTGAATAAATTTTAAAAATATATATTTTTCAGTTATAGTGAACCAAAAATAATTGACTAAAAAGAATTAATGATAAATTTTATTATAAAAAAATAGGTTTATAAAAATATTTTTATTTATTTGGGATGTGTGTCATTGTAACATATACTTGATTTATAATCATTTGTATTAAATAGAAAAATAAAATTAACTTGAAATTAGTATTATTATTTTTTGAGAACATTTAGTTTTGTTATTTAAATCATATTGAGTAATATTTTTTTAATAGAAATTATAGCTCAAATTAAATTTTAAATATGCATAAATTTTACAAGTTTTTTTTATATTTAAGGCTTTTAAAATTTTAATTTTTGTACATTTAAATCTAACTTAATTTTATTTATAAGTCAAGAAATTCATTTTAGAATATACATTTGAAATAATACTTTATCTCCCCTAAGATTATTTTTTAACTCTGTTCTTGTATCCAATTCAATTATTTTATATAATATTGATGTTAAAAGTAAATTTATTTTCATAAAATTTCTTACAAATAGTGATGAAAAACCCTGTGAAATATTCGATCTTTCCATGGAAAGAAGATATTGACCCCAATTAAGAGCCTACTTTAAAAATCTAAAGGAAATTATAATAAGAGGAAAATTAAGAACTTATCCCAACAAATGAATTTTTTTTTTTTTCATATTCCCAACAAATGAATTTTAATCCAAACAGATACTAGGATACATATATAATTCATTCAAATACATATCCACCATCAAAAGAAAATATTGACCCCAATTGAGAGCCCACTTTAAAAATCTAAAAAAAAGGAGGAGGAAGAAATTAAGAACCCCCAACAAATGAATTTTAATCCTCAACAGCTACTAAGCTTCACATATATAGTTCATTAATTCAAGTACGTTATACTTTGTGTTAGAATTTTCCCTTTTAACACCCATGACGATCGCGCCACTCCAGAAACACAAGAGTAGCACCGTAGTGAGCCAATGCACCCATCACCACCAGAACATGAAATATTTGGTGGCTATGTCCGGCTAAGTCGAACCGCCCCGGCTTCCACCTCTCCGGAATCCGGCTAACATAAAACCCCGTTCCCGTTAAATAGAACAGAGCCATCGCGGATTCATATGCCAGCGTAATGTTTCGTCGGGGATTACTCCAGTTCACAATTGTGGAATGGACTGCAGGGACAATACCAAAGAAACCCATGGAACAGAAAAGCATTGCTCGGAATGCCCGGAATTTTCCACTTGACAGGGCCGGTGACAGCAGCGTCACCACCGTGAAAATTCCCATCCCGGTGATCCCACCGAGGTAGACGAAATGCCAGTGGGGCTCGCATTGGAAGATGTAGTAAATTGGAGGGAAAAACGATGTTATGATCATGATGGTGATGCCAGTGTAGTCTATTCTTAGGAGGAGGAGGTTGAGGTGGTGGGAATGGCAGGAGAAGAGGTGGCAGATGCTGCTTGACAAGAGGCAGAACATAGAACCGCTTAAGAACACAAAAAAAGGCCACCGTGTTACGGAGGTCAAAGGCGGCGTGATGTCCATTTCTGGGGTTGTTATTCCCTTCAACTCAATCTGATCTGTTGCTCCCTGCGAAGTTTTTTTCTCATCAAAGTCAAATTCCAGGATATACTGAATGTAAATGCATTGAATACTGTTGAATCATTGACTGAATTAATTAACAATAAATAACTTATATAGCACATCATATGCTCATATATACTCACCACAAAGAATTCTTCAGGATTGTGAGAAACATTTGAATTTGAGCTAACAGGAAATGACCTGCAAAAACCCAGATTATATTACCATAAAGTAGAAATGTCTTTTAGGAGATGTCACAATGGTATTTAAGAGGATGAAGTTAAATATTGCTTCAATTATACTTCAATCAATTATAAATTATACTTTGTTCTATATCAATTATTGGTTACTCCAATCCCTCTATTTTCTTCAATGATTTAGTCTCAAATTGGTGTAAATTTATTAAAAAAATCACAATTACTTTGAAACACGGAGTAGTTGGCAAGTTTCATAATGTTTGCAAGGTTTAAGTGTGATATGGGGAAATACTTAAAGGGTTTTTTATAATTGATTAAAATAAAAATTAAGAGTACCTTTTAATTATAAATTTGTATAAAAAATATATAAATTAATATTAATATTAATTTTTTTACGTGAATTAATTTAATTAAATAATTAATAAATTAAATATCAACTTTTATTTTTTCAATCATAAATTTATAAAAAAAAAAAAGTATTTATTCCCTCAAATTAGATACCTGGTAATAAAGCTAAGTAGATCTGCTACTTGTTGCACTTCCATCAAATTCGCCATTGTCAGTCCCACAAATAGAATAAAACCAAGTAAATGCCTACAAATCGCCAAAAAGAAAAAAAAAAAAAAGGCAAATAAATAAATAAAATCAAAACTCCATTAAAGCGTTTCTAAAACTTTTTTCCTTTTCACTTACGTCCAAATGTTGAGCGTTTCATTATGCCAACGGAAGATGCTGAGGAAAGCTTCCTTGAGAGGCCAGTTAGCCCTGTAATAGTTGAGTATGAATTCGTTGTCCTTCATGTAGTCCGGTAGCTCACGAAAGGACACCAAGGAATATCGTTTCTGCCTACTCCAGTTCTCCTCATGATGATCCTTCCCCTTCCCATCTGCCAGAAGATTGGAATTTCCAGTACTCCGATCCATCTCTCCGCCTTTTCTCTTCACCACCACCGCTCCTTCCCCGCCAAGACTCATCCGTCTGTACAATCAGTGAGAGATTTGTGCCTATAGAAGATAAAAGAAGGGTGTGGTTTTTAAGGAGACTTTTTTGGTATTTAGTGCAGGTTGGAAGAGGGCAGCTATCTACTAACTGTAGCATTTAAAGACTATAATGATGGGCCTGCATGGGATGAAGCGTATGGAAGAACAATTGGATTGGTTAGGTCATCAATAAATATTAATTGAGAATTTTTGAAATTTCAACATATGTTGGATTCCATCGTTTTTAGTTGGTGAGTGGGTGGTTAATCCATCCATCTACCATGTTTACATTAAATAATAACATTAAGATTAGTAGTAGTAAATAGGAAGTCAATCATATAAATTTTAATATAAAATCTTACATCAATTTTAATATTAATGTTATTTAAATCATTTTAATTAGATTATTAATTAAATAAAAATTAATTTTTATTTTTGAATATTAGTTAATATAAAACTATGTAATAATTGCAGTTTTAATTGGTAGCAAAAAAAAAAAAGAGCCTTACTTCGTTTCCTAATTAACTTCACCTTCACTAGCCTAATAAAAAATTAATTTTTTTTCAATACTAAACTCATAAGTTAAAAAAACTCATAAAAAATGTTTTTCCTAACCTATGCTCATTAATAGCTCCTTTTTATGCAAAAAATAAATTCTAACTTTAATTCTACCAATCATATAATTATAAATATTTACGTGATATTAGTGTTGAAATGAAATTAATTTTCTTACATTTTTATATAAATTATTAAAGAAAATGTGCAATTAATCCATCTTTAGGTACAAGTTCAAAAAACTTTTTGAAAACTACAAGTAATAATAATAGTAAGAGTAGAGATACACTTATACATAAATCTTATACATAATATTTATATAAAATCTTAATTATTTATCTCTCTATTTTTAATAATTGAGATTTATTATAACTTTTTAGATAAAAAAATTATATTTAACTAACATAATATAAAGTGAATAAATCTTAATTATTGAAAGTGGAGAGATAAATATCAAAATTTTGTATAAATATAGTGTGTAAGAGTTATGTATAAATGTATCCTAATTGGAAGAGTAAATCCTATAAACAAGTGCCCTTATAATATAGTTTAAGGGTTCGTTTATTTATTTTTTTATTAATTAACATGAAAAATAAAAATAAAAATTGGTATTCATTTTAACAACCATTCAATTAAATTTATTTGAGTAGCATAAATGCTAAAATTAATGTTAATATTTATATTTATATATGTAATATATGTTAATACAACAAATATAATAAATGCACTTTTAATCTGTATTTTTAGTAAAACCCATCTATAAAAGGGGAAAAGTGTGTGACAGGGAATCTTAATGATGATCTTATTAAATATAATGGATATTGTGGTTGCATATTAATAGATAATTCTCTCTTATTCCTTAATCCATCCTATCTATATGTTTTGCTACTCAAATTTAAAATTTTTATTTTCACTAAAAGGAAATTACTCATGAACTTCTTAGATAATTGACTTTTAAAGAGTTTTTTTGAGAATTTTTATGGTACAAAATTTTCCAAAATAGTCTGTTTACTTTGTAAAATCATTTTCAAAGATTTTGTAAGATAGAATTAATTTCAAGAAAAAGTTCAAAATTTAGAACCCTTTTTGGAATTCAATTAAATCTAAAATGATTCAAGCTGAAATTAAGTTCTTAAAAACTTAAAAAGTTGAGGCTAATTACTAAAGAACTTTAAAAGTTTGAACTTTGGACTCTAATAAATCTCTCTACCATGTAATGTGAGATTGATATATAACGCAACAAAACCATTGAGAAGAGCTAGAAATGCTTTAGGTAAATGAAATTTAATTCAACATTTTACTATAAAACTTAAAAAGTTCAAGCTAATTACGAAAGATTTTTAAAAATTTGAACTCTAGACTCTCTAATAAATCTCTCTATAATGTGATGGGAGATTGATATATATATAGCACGACAAAACCATTGAGAAAAGCTAGAAATCTTGTAT